GAAAGGTATACCTACCCTCAGCCTCGAACTTACGTGAACAATAGTGGTTGTTCTCACAAACAACAAACCAGTATAAGTGTTAAGAAACTATTTCACCCCCACTGGAATAGACTAATCTCTTACACTCTACGGCAGTGTTCGAATGCAATTCAAGTCCATCACAACAACCATACAAAAGATACAATTCCAATCGTTTTCTCAAATCATAATACAAGAGAACAATATAAGAAAAATAAGCAAGAGATCATCACAAATACCATTTGTTGTTTAATATAAAGTACTAGAGTTTTGAAGTCAAGAACAATTGAACATTAAGAAGAAAAATTCATTTTTCTCAAAAACTAGGGTTTTTATGGCCATCCAACCATAATACCTTCAAAACATGGTGATACTTGTAGAAACTTAAAGGAACAAGTATTTCATAGCATATATTTAAGATTTAGAAGCAAAACATGTATATATATATAAACTCTAGCTTCAATGGACAAGTATGGAAGAAACCCCTACCTTGATGTTCTTGGAGAAGCTAGGTTTGATCTTTAATCTCCTTTAGAACTCTTGCTTTCCCCTTCTTTCTTCCTCTCTAAGTTTTCTATTAGAGTTCTAAGAGGTGTGGAGTGAGAGTGGTGTGCAAGAATGAGAGTAAATATAGTGGAAATGGGGTTTTAAAAGTAGAAAATCTCGACTTTTTAACTATCTACCGGTAGTTCGTATCGAGCTACCGATAGGTTGGATACACTGGCTATCTGCTACCTGTTGAGCTACCGGTAGTTCGGAACTACGAAACATTTACTACCTATTGACTACCGATAGTTCGGATCCACTCGTCACTGACTACCTGTTGACTACCGGTAGTTCGGATCTATTGGACAGCGTCCTACCGGTAGGTCTTGTCCAAATATGTCTATTTCCTCTATTTTTCATTTCAAACTCATTCCAAACCTTTCCAAATCCAACTCAAGCTTATTCAACATGGTTTTATACATCAAACCTAGTTGGTACAAGTTCTATTACAACGATTTCATATATTTACAAGCTAACTAAGTTTTAACTAATATTTACTCAAATTTCCATATTAACATTTCTAAAAGAAATAATAATTTGCTACATAAACCTACATACATATATAGAAAGATAAAAGAGTAGGGTTTACATCCACATTGATAACAAAAATTAGATAATCTCTCATACCGGAAGCAAATACGAAAGTCATCCTACCCTTCACGAACTAGATATAACCCTTTCTTCAATGATTTATTAAGATCAATGGTGCACTTTACCCTCAAAAAGCTCCTGTTGAATGGCAACTCGTCTTTAAATTCTCCTAATTGGGTGAACTCTTCTATTATCAGACCAATCCACCATAAGTTATTCTTCTTCATCATATCTAGTGATAGGCCCCAAACCTGGATCCAGGACTCTATTTTGAAGAAGTCGTAATCTCTAATAGAACACCGTGGAGCACATTTTTTTAGGACCAAAAGGGCTCCCATAACAGACCATGGACCTTCTCTGTATATTTTGTCTCTATCCTCCTCATCTTTAAACATGAACATATAGACATTCTTTGCCCAGAAAGTGATAGAAAAGCCCTTTGCAGTTTTCTATGTTCCCCACAATACGATTGTAATCCCTTGCTTATTTAGGGCTGTTTTCGATAAAATTTTCCCTAACATACAAGATTGTTGGACATCTCTAGATGTTGATGAGTTAGAAAAGAGTGAGAAACGGGGATGGTTCAACTTTTCAGAATTTGTTTCTAGATCGTCTAACATTTTGATATTTCAAAACCCAAAAAATTGCTGATTAAGAGGGGGCTAAAATCAAAGTGGGTTAGAGGGGGTAAAAGTTTAGTGAGTCAAGGTTTGAGGGTTTCTAGTGCATCAATCAGTTTAGATAAAAGCAGAAGACATGATGGAGTAAGAAGGTTTTGGACATGGTGTAAATCGACATCAGAAGTGGGTTAAGGAAGAAAACATAATAAAGAATGGAGTCTGAAAGTTTAGAGGGAAGTGTAGATAATGATGGAGTGAAAAAGTTTAATCTCCCAAAAAGAAACCATAACTATGGTGGGTTTGAACGAATACAAAGGCTCAGTGACCTAAGCTCTTTTGTGTTTTTGTTGATTTACGGAACCTTGAGCAACTCAAGAGTTACGGATTACCTAGGAACCTGCTCGGGTAGTAAGTTTGGAATTGGAGAGCCATTCTACTATAATAATATTGCTAAATTCTTTGTTTCCCTTTGTTTTTGAGACTTGAAACACTCTAATTGACTACCCCTTTAATGTCGCCCTTCCCGAGACGCTGAGAAGTTCTCAGGAAAAACCATAGGTAAGGTGACAAGTCTCCACAGAGAGAGAGAGAGAGAAAAAAAGGTTGTTTTGTTGTAAGTTTGAAGGTGGGTCAACTTCAATAATTACTTTTTTTGTTCACTTACCATCTTTTTAGTTGGAACTTACTATTTTTGGGAAGAACTTATTTCTTTCTGACATGATTACCAAAAAATAAAATGTTGATACCATCGTGTTTCCCTAGTTTGTTTGTTGCTTGTGGGCATGATCTCGCAACATTGCATAACATCTGATAATGAAAATGTATCCAGCAAGCCCACTTGAACCTTGAAGGAACTTGCTCTCCTCAAATGGGTGAACTGAGATCCTCGAATCAAAACATTATAGTTATAGGGAAGTTGTAAATGACTGCTCCATATTGGTTAGTGACCTTTAAGAACAAACTACAAAGTGAATTGGCAAGGATTCGAATTCCTTCCAATACGTTTTATTATTCCATGCTATATATATTGAATGAGGGTCAAGAGTTGGTGATTCTTAACACAACTCATCCATACGAAGAAATTTAATGAGTTTAGCTTTAACGAATTTGTGTCATAAACATGTTTGGCTGACTAGACAAGTTTAATAAATGGATCAACCCAAGTTGAATTATATATATTATGAACTCAATTTTTTTTAAAGGAAACAATAAATAAAAAATATTCAAAACGAGATCATGCATAATAAAGTCTGATGTCTGATGTCTGCTCCAACCAAACAAGGCTACACTCTAAAGAAATAAAATAATGAATGAACTCATGACCTACTTGATTTCAGTCCACGGACTGTGGACACCTCAATTCTTCGAAACCTTTTCGCCTCACTCTAGATATCACAAATAATGGCACCTAGCAGATGTAACTCCACCTCACAGTTCTGGATAGACTTCATAATTTCTACAAAGTCACCTTCCAAAGTAATATCACTCAGTTCTTGTTGCCTAGCAAATTAGATAGCAACTCTTGCCGCTATTGTTCCGCTAGACATTCTTTTAGGTAATGCCCCCATAAAGTCCACCTAATCATCTCTTATGACAACTCGCACTTGTTGGGATTTCACTCAATTTAAATCCATTAACAAACACACAATCGAAAAATAAATCAAGAATATAAAGCAATAAGAAACAAGAAAGAACAAGACACAGATTTTACGTGGTTCGGCAATTTGTCTACGTCCACGAAGCTGCAGGGATTTTACTATTGAGATAGTTGAATTACAGAGAGCGGCTGTACAATCCACAACCAACCCTAATCACCAAAACAACAGGGTTTATATGTCCTACGCACTGGGCTGTATAATGGGCCCAAAAAATTTTCCTCGGGGGCGTTGCCCCCGAACTCCCACGAGGCTTGTCCATGAGCGCTACGGCTTGGGCCTATCGGCCCAAGCCTTCGCTCCATGAACTAAGTCTCAGAAAATTTTTCATTAAAAATCACACAACATTACTTCGGGTCAGGTCATCATCCGGATCACATATACAAACTAGACTCCATAAAAAAAAACCAACAGCACTCCCAAAGCATTTTGTGATTAAAAAAAGGCAGCGTCAAAATTAACTTTAAATGAACCGGACCTTGGTTGACACCACCACATACTGCTAGACTCAGCCCTTGGAATCAGGTCATATAAGGTTGCTACCTATTGGTACTGCATCTAGTATTTTCGAGCATACTCGCTCACTTCTGAAGGATCATGCAACACATCCTCAAAGATCCTGATATTCCTATTTCTCCATACAAGCTAACACAGGATAAGAAAGAGGGATTAGTCTTCAGAAGTAAGAATTCGATGGGCCTCACGAAATCACTCTCTTGGGTCAGAGATATCCAACTGAGCCACTGCAACCAGTGAAGTGAGCGCCACACCGCAATAGCCCAGGGGCAATGAATAAGCGATTCGTCTACAATTTGGCACACCCCATACTGTCCAACCACATCAACTCTTCTTTGCAAGAGATTGTCCGTCGTTGGTGGAGCATTAGAGCACACTCCCCACGCAAAAAATTTAATTTTATTTGGAATCTTCTAATTCCATACAAAATTCAAATTTCCATGTCCAGCGCTACTAGATGGAACTGAGTTGCTCGAGCCCATGTGCAATAAGCCTTAACCCATGATGATGTGAGATGCACTACATACTAAAATTGCCCATTAGAATTATAATGCCAGATCAGTTGGTCATCNTACTATTGAGATAGTTGAATTACAGAGAGCGGCTGTACAATCCACAACCAACCCTAATCACCAAAACAACAGGGTTTATATGTCCTACGCACTGGGCTGTATAATGGGCCCAAAAAATTTTCCTCGGGGGCGTTGCCCCCGAACTCCCACGAGGCTTGTCCATGAGCGCTACGGCTTGGGCCTATCGGCCCAAGCCTTCGCTCCATGAACTAAGTCTCAGAAAATTTTTCATTAAAAATCACACAACATTACTTCGGGTCAGGTCATCATCCGGATCACATATACAAACTAGACTCCATAAAAAAAAACCAACAGCACTCCCAAAGCATTTTGTGATTAAAAAAAGGCAGCGTCAAAATTAACTTTAAATGAACCGGACCTTGGTTGACACCACCACATACTGCTAGACTCAGCCCTTGGAATCAGGTCATATAAGGTTGCTACCTATTGGTACTGCATCTAGTATTTTCGAGCATACTCGCTCACTTCTGAAGGATCATGCAACACATCCTCAAAGATCCTGATATTCCTATTTCTCCATACAAGCTAACACAGGATAAGAAAGAGGGATTAGTCTTCAGAAGTAAGAATTCGATGGGCCTCACGAAATCACTCTCTTGGGTCAGAGATATCCAACTGAGCCACTGCAACCAGTGAAGTGAGCGCCACACCGCAATAGCCCAGGGGCAATGAATAAGCGATTCGTCTACAATTTGGCACACCCCATACTGTCCAACCACATCAACTCTTCTTTGCAAGAGATTGTCCGTCGTTGGTGGAGCATTAGAGCACACTCCCCACGCAAAAAATTTAATTTTATTTGGAATCTTCTAATTCCATACAAAATTCAAATTTCCATGTCCAGCGCTACTAGATGGAACTGAGTTGCTCGAGCCCATGTGCAATAAGCCTTAACCCATGATGATGTGAGATGCACTACATACTAAAATTGCCCATTAGAATTATAATGCCAGATCAGTTGGTCATCCATCCTATTAACACTCAATGGAATAATCTTTATCACTAGTGCCTTATGAACTAATAAAACTTTATTCACCCTTTTCCTTGCTTCCAATATTCTTCTCCAAGTGTAATAGGGTTTGCACCCCAACTCCACCTCCATAAATGTAGAAGAAGGAAAATACCTCGCCTTGAGTACTTGGTGGAGGAGAGTGTTCACCTCAGCATTGATTCTCCAAGCTTTCTTAGCTAACAATGCCAGATTGGAAGCTTTCAAATATTTAAAACAAATACCACCCCTTTCCTCCCTTGTTCACATCTTATTCTAACTAACCCAATGCATTTCACAAAAATAATCCGGAAGTTTAAAACAAATCGCATATGTAGTTATAGGTTGAACAACTGCCTTAATTAAAACTTTCCTTGCCAGCTCTAGAAAGGTGTTGTTCTTTCTAACCTTGAATTTTGTTCCAAATTTTCTCTTTCAAATTGTTGAAGACATCCTTTTTAGATCTACCCACCACTATTGGCAGACCCAAGAACACTCATTCCACCCTATCATAGGCATTACTCATGTCAAGCTTCAAAGAAGCATAACCCATTTTACCCCAACTTTTACATTTTAGAAAATGATTGACTTCGAAGGCTACCAAAACATTATCAGTAATCAATCTTCCCGAAAGGAAGGCACTTTGAGTCTCAAAAATGATCGAGGGTAGAATATCCTTCAAACGATTAGCTAGAATTTTAGGTATTATTTCATAAAAAACATTGCATAGACAAATTGGGTAGAATTGAGATGAAGATTCTGGATTTTCATAAGTAGGGATAAGTACAATATGAGTGTAGTTTATTTTGAACGAAACGGACCACCATTGACGAAATCCAAAACATACTCTGACACATCAGGACCCACAATATGCCAAAAAATTTGGAAAACAGTGGGGGCACATCATCTAGGCAAAGGGATGTTATGGGAGTAAATTTGAGAAATTGCTGTAGTTACCTTCCCCATACGAAAAGTATGCACAAGCTTTTAATTCATTTCACCAGTTACCTTGCGTTCCACTTTGCATAGAACATCTCCAGGTCTCGGTTATGTGGTCTACTAGATCTAAAACAATTCTTGAAATAACCTACAACAACTAGTTCCATCTCTTCTGAATAGTCAGAATATCCCTCTTCACCATTTCTTAGATTGATTATTGTTTTCTTTTTTCTCCTTTGGGATGCCCAAGCATGAAAAAATGCAAAATTTCTATCCCCTTCTTTTAACCAATGCACCCTCAATCATTGACGCCAATAAGCCTCCTCCATATCGAACAACTAATTCAACCCCAACTCAATCACTTGTGCCTGTTGTTTTGATTCTTATGTTTTGCCTTTCCCCTTAAGAGTTGCCAATTGAGATTTTAAAGCTTCAATCTTCAAAGGAATATGCCTAATGCATTCTTGTTTCTACTTAAGTAAACCCAATTTGCAATTTTGTAACTTGCTGATGAACCCTTGACTGCCTAATCAAAACCCATTAGAAACCCAAGCCTTATTAATGAATTCTTCACAGTCCTCCCTCCTAACCCATGCGGCTTCGAACCGAAATCTTATTCTAGAACTCCTCGCATTGGCCAAGTATCTCATGTTGCTATCCATTATAATTTGGTAATGATCAGATTCTTTAAAGAATTCATGACACACTCTTGAGTTTGGGAATCTAGCCATCCACTCCACATTTGCACATACTCTATCCAATCTATCCCACACTGTATGCGAATCCGTCCAAATATTATTGTCACAACTCGTCTCGGAAAAGAGATAAGGTGTGGGTGACCTTGCTCATTATCATCCCGGAAAAGAGATAAGATGTGGGTAACCCTACTCAATATCTTTTACAATAAAACTCAGTTAATATTAATTAACTTGTGTAGTACTTAAACCAACTCATTTCCTGTAACACTAATAACTAACATTTTACAAAGCATAGTGTTATATCGTAATTAGAGCACTATACCCTTTAAACATCTTTACTACTCATGTATAATATGACTTTTAACATAAAGTAAAATCTGACACCGACACCACTATGCCAAGCTAGACTAATCAGTGGATAACTTCCTTAACCCATACATCTAAAAATGATCAATGGTGAGGAGGGGGAGAGGTGAGCAAACCACACGCTCAATGAATATATTTGAGACATATAAAAAGGAAACGTATAAGCACTGAACAATTATATTCATATCTCACATACACATTAAAATATGGAATTCACATTAAATATCCAACATCCGATATCCCATGACAATTAGCTACTCATTTATGCTCGGGAGTCTCGGCAGTTATATTGTTATTGTTTTCGCCTAGCAGTCTCGATAGTCCCATCGCTACAGTTTATGGCTGGCAGTATTGGCTATTATATCGTCATTGCTTATGACCAATAGTCTCAGCAACTTCACATTGGCAAGCATCCATAATCATTTCAAGTATTTGAAAACACTCCCAACACCAATCCACAATCCTTAAGCCATTGACTCACAATCCAGCTATTTCAAATAAATATAGTTAGCAAAAATCAATTACGCTTTCATAGTTCATAGCTTACTAAATAATCTTCAATCTATTTCACATAAGTATAGCTAATAAACACATAACCACATTTTCAATCAATATTTATTAATACACTCACCACCGGTTAAATCCAAACCCAGATTCAGCCTCCTTGTGTACTTTTAGGTGATTCCAACATTGACATCATCACCTCAAAACCTAACATACATCTTCACAAGACACAAAAATATTATTCTTAAAACACAATTGTTATACATAAATACTTTCCCATTAGCCCCCCCCCCCCTTCCATTTATTATAATGTACCCAAACCTTTAGATTTAGTGATGTGCTTGATGGTGAATTAAATCAAGATTGATTTTAACCCATTTAAATGTTTAAAGAAGGTTTGAGGTTGAGTGGACAACAAATCACAAACATTATGGCAAAATCGTTGAAATTCCATGTTCCTACTGCAAAATAGTTGAAATTCCATGTTCCTACCGGAGTCCTACCGGTAGAACACCTCACAAAATATCGTTCTACTAGTAGAACATCACTTCCTACCAGTATAACACTTCACAGAAGGTTGTTCTACCAATAGATCATCTCCTTCTACCGATAGAACATCTTATAGAATGTCATTCTATCAGTAGAACACCACTTTCTACCAGTAGGAGTCTAACAGAAAACCTTCTTTATTCCATCTTCTTCCTCAATTTTCCTCTCTCAACACCAACAATCCTAATATACGTACCATCAATTATAATCCTCAAATACATGATATTTCATATCTATTACATACCCAACATGCAAAATCCAAAAACCAAAACCAAAATCAAACCCATACCCATAAACAACATTTACATACACCAAAATCCATCCCTTTTTCTATGATTTCAAACAACCAAGTACAAAGAATTATTAACAGAATTTATTACGAAAAAAGAGTTATTCTCTTCCAATTCTTCTTCAAATTCTATTTTGAATCAAAGAAGCCAAGAAAACTGGTTTTTTCCATGCCGATTTCAAAATGAAAGACCAAAGCTCCTCCGCCGGGTTATTTTTCCTCCCAACCCAGCTCTTCTCTCTCTTTTCACTCCCCTTCTCTATCTCTATCTCTATCCATTTCTCTGAATCTCTTGTTCAACACACACACACTTGTATGTATATATATAAGGAAGTTAGGCTAAGTGAAAGATGAGTGTCTTTCCCAATCATCCTTTTTCTCACCCATTTACATATAGGTCCCCCTTAGTTTTCCTCATTCACACAATCACCTCGTAATCAATAATCACTTAAAAATTACACCCAAAACCTTTTTGTCATTAAACAATTTAACTCAAAACATTCTTTCATCAAATAAATCAACTCCCAGGGTTAATATTTAAAAATATAACCCAACACCCATAATTCGAATTATAGTAATTTAACCCACAGATTATTTATCATAAATTACACATTAAACCGTAACATTTAATAAATGTTATATATTTACGAGTTCAGGTCTCACAATTACACCATGTGAAAGGAAAACCATCAAACCCCAAATCCACCGAAGCACATCTATCTAGAGCCAGACGAAAGGCCTACATCTGCCATTCGGCCCTACTCCGTCTCCCTTTCTTTTCACTTTGTGAAGTAATTTCATTGATGGTAGATTATTCATACTGCCTAAGTGAGCCATTAGAGACCAAGTTTCACTCCTTCTTGATGTCTTTGATTTTCCATAAATCCTTGCTAGCCTTCATGACCCATTTTTATCATTCTCATTGATCACCATGTCAATGTGCCCACGAGAAAAGATCTATATAACCACCTCAATACCTTTTTGCCACAACATCCCTAGTCTTCCAAATGTTCCACTCGACGCAACAGCCATCCCAAACATTCCAATCATTGTTTTCAAGAAATTAATCTTCCTCGTGTTACACTTCTTTTCCGAAAGGAGCACAAAGTCGAGCCTCTCTTTATTCACGTAATCGTGAAGATCCTGAACTGTCCAAGGATGCCCAAGTCCCCGGTAGTTCCAGCTTGGGATTTTCATGGCGATCGGTGGACATGGATATCAACACCCACCATTAAATCTTTCAATCCAATTGAAACCGAAGAACTTATATAAAAACTAACATTGCTTCTTTTTTGCAAAATGACTTCCAAATCTGTACCCATAGCTCCTCCCGCATAGCCTTGCTTTTGTTTTCCTTTGTTCACTTCGAGGGGATTTGATAGAAAGGTTGCCAAAGAAACCTTATGTCTTCTCCTCCATTTCTTTGTTGTTGAAAACACCCCACTAAGGACCTCCTCTATTATTTCCCTCTTTTCCCCTAAATCTGGTGATTTTTTGGGCTTAGCTGAAAGGCTAATTTTGATATCCATCAAATCTTTAGCAGCCACTTGAGCCTCCGAATCCATTAGACTAGTAAACTAGGTCCCCCTACTATTGAGGCCCATTTAATTAGGCCCACCAAAAAATATTTATTTCTCTTCGATTGCCCTTGTACTGAATTTCCCTCTTCAAGTTGAAATCTTCCTTACCTAGCATGCTTCACCCTTTTAATTATCTTGCTAATCGTATCCCCATTTTTCTCTCTCAAATATTAACCACAATCCATTGCCACCATGATTGGATCCGCTTCTTTCTTGTTTGGGAAAATGATTTAATCCCCTGGTAATGTCTCCCTGTATTCTTCCTTCCAACAATGGTTACTCTGGGAGAAAATTCGTTGATTCTGGGATCTGGGTATTACAATCCCAAATTATTCAATTTGCAATCCTCTGACACGTTCTCTTCTTCCTCCTCCACCATTATTAGGTCACCGGCCGAACCAAAACCACTATTGGTCTCCACCGAAGAACCTTTTTCCCCCAATTTATGACCAGTAGTCTTCTTCAGCCCTTTGCCCGTTGAAGCTCTCATCCAAGCACCAAACTGTAATGAGCCTTTCACGGAAACATTTATCGATTCCAATTTTATAGAACATTCTCTTTCCCCATAACCAAAACGACCACAAAAAATAGCATATATGTGGTAGTCTCTCGTACTTAAAGAACACCATTGAGGTTTCTCCCTCATCCACCTTTAGATTCATCCCTCTAAGAAGCGGTTTGTAAACATTAATTTTAACCCAAAATCTCAAGCATCTCTCCTAACCCACTCCTTCACTGCTTAGGTTAGCTTCCATGAAATGGCCTATTTGTTGCCTATGATCTCTCCAGTTACTTGGTTCATTATATTGAAAGGAAGCTTAAAATTTTGGACCCATAAAAGGCACCAATTAAAGAAAACATTGGATGCCTGATTCCTTCCATCATACTCCTTTAATAACACTAACTAATTATCAAAAAGACAATGGCATGCCCTCAAAAACTCTTCGCTTATCCAACATATTATAAAACAAAAAAAGAAATCGGTTATCACCGGCCTCTATGAAATACACTTTAATATTGTTCCACCTCAATGTGTTTTGAAGGCCGTCTTATTATATGGGTTCTGTAGGAGGCAAAAAATTGAGAATACCTCCCACTGCAATTGAGAAATTGATGTATTTCTGAACTTGGTCTCTCAGTCTTCCTCTACCTGCAAAACAAAAAAATTGCCCAAAATCGAAGTATTTCGATCGAAGGCACTCCGATGCTTAAATCAGTAAAGATACTGGAATGAATGGAAGAAGACCAAGAGAGTTCAGCGTATCTTTCACCCTCTATTTTTTATAGATGGTCATCCCTTTAGGGTTTTCATGATTTTTAATTCAAGGTGGCACACCCTCCTTCAATTCAGTCATTCAGTTTGAGAAGTTGCTGGATATTTCTCTAACAATTTCTTATGATATCTATAATTTTGTTGATTCGTTTATCTGATTGTCTAAGTTATAGGAGAATCTTTATCTTTCCATCTATCATTTTGAACAACTCGAACATGTCATACGCCGAGCACATTTGATATTTGCTGAACAGTTTTAGGGACTTGATTTGGCACAAACCATTCTCTTCTTTTGCCTACTCGAACACTTTAGTGAACTCTGCTTGGTACAAGCCGAGCTCTTTCCTTGCTTAGCTAAACAAATTGATGAGTTTAGTCATAAAGAGAACCGAACTCTTTCTTTCTTTGCCTAACCAATCGATAAACATGACTCAGTTTATAAGATTGTGAATGATTTCTCTGTCACATCACCTGTCTTGTCAACCTCACGTGGGTTTCATTTAATGTCATTATACGTGTAATAATGGGGGCTAGCCCCTTCATTTGCCCCCATAAAACGCTGATAGAAATCTTTCGTCTGTCAGTCATTTTTTGTCTTTTCATTATCATTGCCCTTGTGACATTCCCCTTTGCTTTGGCGGCACGTCTTGGGCATTAAATATTGCCTTTTGAAATTCCTCTTCCTCTTTATAAACGTTTTCGTCTTCGTATGTCCTTCACTCTGCATTCTCGATTTCAAATTCATCTCTTTCTTCGTATATGTACCACTTTTCTTCTTTTTGAGTTCATCTTCTTCAATGGCCCCTCTCACGCCCTCTGAAATCCCTGCTTTTAAAATCAAATACAACATCCCAAACGACGTAGAGGTGAAGGTTACTGGAAAAGATGAGCCTCTGATTGGGACAAGAGAGAGGATCCCGATTTATACTCGAGCAATTACTGAAGGTGGTGTGCGCTTTCCTCTTGACCTGTTGCTCCTCTAGGTCCTATCTGCGATGAAGTTGTGCCCAATCCAGTGCTTCCCCAACTTCTTCAGAATAGTGATGGGCGTGGCTGCTTTAAACAAGCTTCTGAACCTGAATTTGGGATTATGGGAAAAATTGTACTGTTACATAGTCAAAGATGTTGAAGATAACTTCTACTTGGTCGTGAGGAAGAAGAACTGTTATTTGGTCACCCATCTTCTAGATTCAGACAAAGGTCATGATATTGACATTATGTTTGTCTCTGGAAATTGGGAATACCCTATCGAGGCCACCCCTTCTTACCGCTGTCCATACAAAGAAGACATTCCAGGTTTTTGAATCTATCTTTCTTCCAAAAACTTTTTTTTTTAACAGAATTTCTATGTATATGAGAGACTGTTAAGGGTAGAGTTCCTGAATCTTCTGTGAAGATAGATGAACTCAAGAAGGTTTGGGTTTTCAATGAAATGTTATTCTGCCGAGCTGCCCACACATTGCTTGGATATACACCATCCTATACTTCTTTTATTGTTGTGCCGAGCCGACCCAACGTCACTCTGGCAGCAGGTCGGGAGGCAATATAGACTGCTAGGGAATAGACTCCTTAAGCCAAGAAGAAGTCTTCCCTTGCAGTTTCTGGGCGCAGGACAATAAAGAACTTTCTTGATTTTTTATCAACTGTTGAACCGACTCCTTCCACTGAACCGACTCCAATTGCTTCAGCGATTCTGATTTCTGTTCTTGACGAGCCAACTACCGAAGTCCTACTTGAGGTGATTCTTTCTTAAGCCAACGATGCAGGTCTGCCTTTAGGTGACCAAGCTGATTTGGCTCCTGCTGCTGAAACTTTTGTTCCTGTTGAGATAGATCCTCCAGAGCCTGTTCACTCTCATTTTCAAGAAGACAACTCAATCTTTGAGCTCGCCGAAGACCCTGCCCCTAAAAGGCGTAAAGTTGTCGAGTACAAGGTGAAACTTTCCCCCAAATCAGTCATTCCTCCTTTTTGTCCTGTCCTTCGGGAAAAAAGGAGAGAGATTATTGCTAAGGACTCCGCCTTTGAAGATTTCAACGTAGTAATGGGGATTGCCAAGGGAGTCATCTTGCCTCGGGATTTGGCAATGAGTGAAGCACTTACCGATGACGAAGTATCTCGTTAAGCCATTCAACACATGGTTTTGGTAAGATTTTGATCTCTCAAAATTTCTTACTTCATGAATTTTTCTTCAAAAATTTCTCTAAGACAATTCTTTTCTTTTTCAATCAAGGGTCTGCAAAAAATTTCATGAGGTTAGGGCTAGGATAGCGAGAAAGGACAAGCTTATGAAAGATGCTATTTATGCCCGAGCTTCAGCGCTAGCCAAGAAAGAAAGTGTCNGAATCTTCTGTGAAGATAGATGAACTCAAGAAGGTTTGGGTTTTCAATGAAATGTTATTCTGCCGAGCTGCCCACACATTGCTTGGATATACACCATCCTATACTTCTTTTATTGTTGTGCCGAGCCGACCCAACGTCACTCTGGCAGCAGGTCGGGAGGCAATATAGACTGCTAGGGAATAGACTCCTTAAGCCAAGAAGAAGTCTTCCCTTGCAGTTTCTGGGCGCAGGACAATAAAGAACTTTCTTGATTTTTTATCAACTGTTGAACCGACTCCTTCCACTGAACCGACTCCAATTGCTTCAGCGATTCTGATTTCTGTTCTTGACGAGCCAACTACCGAAGTCCTACTTGAGGTGATTCTTTCTTAAGCCAACGATGCAGGTCTGCCTTTAGGTGACCAAGCTGATTTGGCTCCTGCTGCTGAAACTTTTGTTCCTGTTGAGATAGATCCTCCAGAGCCTGTTCACTCTCATTTTCAAGAAGACAACTCAATCTTTGAGCTCGCCGAAGACCCTGCCCCTAAAAGGCGTAAAGTTGTCGAGTACAAGGTGAAACTTTCCCCCAAATCAGTCATTCCTCCTTTTTGTCCTGTCCTTCGGGAAAAAAGGAGAGAGATTATTGCTAAGGACTCCGCCTTTGAAGATTTCAACGTAGTAATGGGGATTGCCAAGGGAGTCATCTTGCCTCGGGATTTGGCAATGAGTGAAGCACTTACCGATGACGAAGTATCTCGTTAAGCCATTCAACACATGGTTTTGGTAAGATTTTGATCTCTCAAAATTTCTTACTTCATGAATTTTTCTTCAAAAATTTCTCTAAGACAATTCTTTTCTTTTTCAATCAAGGGTCTGCAAAAAATTTCATGAGGTTAGGGCTAGGATAGCGAGAAAGGACAAGCTTATGAAAGATGCTATTTATGCCCGAGCTTCAGCGCTAGCCAAGAAAGAAAGTGTCGATGAAGAATATGCCAAACTCTGCGAAGAGTTGAAGGTTCTACAAGCTCAAAATCAAAGCCTGACCGAGGAGAACCTGAAGCTTCAGACTGAGATTGGGCAACTCAAAGACTCTGAACATAAAGCGAATGTTGAACTTTCCCAGTCTCAACTTGATTATACCAGTCTATTGGAAGAATTTGACAAATTCAAAGCAGAGGCAAAGGAGAGGGAGGACGCTTCTTATGATGAGGGAGTTGAAAAGGCAGAAAATGACCTTGCCCTGCAAATCCCCCAAATCCAAAATGCCTGCTTTAGTAAGGGCTGGCATGCTGCTTTAACTGCTGCAGGGATTCCAACTTCATCAAAGCTCTTTTCAAGGCATTCTTTCCCCAGTTCTTCTCAACCTCCAGCCTCCTGAAACATTCAAGAAATT